ACAGTATGTAAACAAAGCCTTGGAAGAGAGAGAGAAAGCTCACCTTGCTGAAGCTTCCCACCATCTCCTGTACTAGTGAGCGCATGGGTGCAATGTATATGATTTTGAAGTCATCCACATTGATAGTTCCATCCAGGTTTATGTGCTTTCCAATTTCCCTCAGCATCGCCATCAGGGCAATATTGGTCTTACCAGCTCCCTGTGTGCACAAGGAATAACAAAATTATAGGAGAAAGTACATTTGAGAAAAACTGTTCCAACAGAAGTTGTTAATGTTAGCTTACCGTAGGTGCACACACTAGCAGGTTCTCATCTGTGTCCATGGCCGTCTTAAACAGCTTGCTCTGGATACGGTTCAGGGTTTTGAACCCTTCAAATCCAGCCTGGGCATACTTGGGCAATTTTTCAATGCCAACAAGCACCTGATGACACAATAATAAGCTGAATGTAGGACAGGAACACATCTAAACACTACTTTTCACTGACATTTTTGCACTAGCACCTGCACAGTAAGGCAATAACAAGTCTTCCATTACGAGACACACAACCAACAAACCTCATCATCACTGAAGGGCTTGGGTTTGAGAGCCGGCACATGAACTTCTTCATAACCTTTGCGCTGTTTGCGAAATGAGCCATCTGGGAGCTGGCACCTCTTGTTGGCCATGAAATGGCTCCCCTGAGTGAAGGCCAGATCCTCCAGATCAAGTAGTTGTCGAGGAGTCACTGACTGCAGGATAAGAAGGATGGATTTTCTCAGCAGTGTAAACATACCTTTATGGCAGTGTTGCTGATGCCATTTTACCACCTAATTAGTAGTATTCTTGAGTTATCCAACAGTAAAAAAGAATACCATAGGTACCATAGGTTTTGCTGTGATCGTCTCTGTATTCAGTGTCTGTTAAAATCAAATACAAGGGCCTCATGCTGGACTGGGACAAAATGAAAACTCGGTTTTCTTGGTCAACCCTTTTCTTCACACATTTGGATAGTGACATCCTCACCACATTGGTGGCATCATGTACACTGGCAGAAGATGCTGAAGTCTCACTTTCTTGTTCCCGCAGGACAGAACCTGAACACCTGTTAAACTTTAGCTAACCTGCTAATTCTGAACAGGCACCAGTAGGAAACATACGCTTCATTACATTGTATTATTGCATTCCTAGTATGCGGTGTGGGCTGGGTCTGGACTGACTTGCCGTCCGGTCTGGACTTTGAGAAGCACTACCATAGGCAGTCAATCTGCATACATTATAACCAGTTGATATCAATGCACCTTTGCATTATTTACCTCTCCGTGATCTACGTCCATTGCTTCCAAGTCATCAACTCGAGACTTCCTCACCCTCTCCCTGCGAGACCGCTCCTCCTAAAGACACAAAAATCCAAGAATAAACAGAAAAATCCATATATCCAAAGCACTCACACAATTTCACAAACAAGAGGTCTTACTCGAATAATGTCTTCCTTCTCTGTCTCTTGCAGCTGGTAAAGAATCTTTGACAGTTCTTGATCTGACTCCATTTTTCCCATGATCCGTTCCTTTTCAGCCTCACTCTGAGCACTCGCCAACATGGTACAATATTGAACTGTGTATCAGAAGGACATATAAAATTACCAACTTCAAAAAGCACAAGATGGAACAATCAAACTGTGCTATTCTACAACACACATACTCATGCGACGATGTTGACGGAGGATTTTGATGAAATCAAAGGTGTTAAAGCCCAGCAGCAACACCAGCTGGTTCTCACACTCTCTGTCATCGCTGGCAGTCTGTGGAACACAGAGTGGAATGATGGGCAAGGCCGAAAGGTACACAAGTATTCAAACAAAAAAGATTTTAAAAAAAACAGACATACCTTGAGAATTTCTAAGACTTCATCAGCTTTCTTTTGTGAGACAATGGCGTCATCATAGAAACGGCTGAGCTGACGCTGGAGCCAGAAGGCATCGATGTCTCGAGGATGTAGGTCTTTTTTCTTCACTGTCATCACATCGCCCGTGGCACCAAGCTAAATAAAGAGGAATTTAAATGTTTTTTTAAAAGTAGTATAGCATGCAATAATTCACAAAGGTTCAGTTAGAAGGCTTAATCCAGTGCTGATAGATGCAGACGTTGCACTTACATTGGCTGAAAGAGTGCAGCCTACATCTGCCTCCTCTCCTTCACTGTCTTCGTCTGAGTGTTCATCTCGTACCTCACCAAACTGGTCTTCATCCCCTTCCTATGTAATAAGAAGAGAACACTTTGAGACATAACCTATTTAACATGCCAGTTCATCAGTGTTAAAGCTAGAAGATTTAATCTACACATCTGGGACAATTTAGGAGAAAGGCAAACAACCCTCACCTCCTCATCAGATTCAAATTGGACATTCACGCCATAGGTTTCATCAATGTTGTCATCTGTGGATAAAAGATACATTGTGCTATCACAATAATGTTTTCATGAAGAACTGACAGGCCAATCAACAAGGAGGCTCCCGTTAGGCTATAGATACAAAACTGTACGTTATTTTCATTAAGAAACTTACCCATATTCTGTAAGTCCTTGTCCCCTCCATAGTCTGTGATCTTCTTGCCAAGATTCACCAACACATGGTAGCGTGTGTCATCAGCGGGTCCAAGAAGCTGCTCTACTTCACGTCGCCTTTCTTTATCCCTCATTTTATCATTCTTAAGAACTGCTAACACTTCATCAGCTGCTCCACACAGGATATCACGCGGCTGCAGAGACAAAGTGCAATGACACACCAGGTGTTGAACAAAAATACATGCTGACTTTCTAAAGTATGCAGCTGTTGCAGTGTTCACTGACCTGATCTCCCAAAGCAGCATGGATGAAGCTGAGCAAAACTTCATAGGTCTCTCTGGTTTCCTTAGTTTTAGGCTTGTACATAATGCCCACCATCTCATCAATGCCTTCAGACAGAAGGGTAAAACCCTTCATTTTGTTGATATCATGTCTGTCCTCATCTCTTTTTCGTCTCCTGTACAGACAGAACGAGATAAAATGACAAGGATCAAGAGGAATGTCACTCAACGGACACATGAACAACACGGTTGTATGAAGAAAGATGATAGCAATGTCTAGACTAGTCTGCACAAACATCAACTTTAAGTTGACAAAGTTATAGTTAAAGTTATAGTTAACAGTATCCAGGTCGTCTCTCCTCCAGTTTCTGAGGCTTGGTCCTCTGAGCCTTGTCACCCATCTTGGTCCCCTCCAGCTTCCCCACCAGGGACAGCACCTCTCCGGTGGGTTCATCTCTCCGTGTGCGGTCGATCAAAGACCGATCAGCTTGTAACACCAAGTTGGAGTTCTAGAAATTTAACACAAAGACGGTCAGTCAGTAACATACATTGGTCTGCACAGCCTGGGCTAGGTTAACATTAGCTAAGCTATTTGCGGGAATGACTGACTGAGCAATACGTAGCCGGAAATAAAAACATATAGCTAGTTAGCCTAATAACGTAAACGGAAACAACACTTTTCGTGTTGTTCATAGGTTTCTCGACAAACATACTCACCGCTTTGTACTCATACTGCAGGCTACGAGCAGTAACATCCGCCATTACGACAGTCTATTCTTTTAATTTTTACCGCCGCACTCAACGTGAACCCGCCCGCTGACTCTAAACATGCACAGAGCTCACTTCACTCTGCCTTTTTACTGCGTTAACATCAGTGCACTTTTTATTTCTGTAGCCTGAGATTGTTCTCAAAACGTCCGCGCTTCATACAAGAAAATGCGTTTCCCGTACGTCACAAAAGTACTGCTAACACGAGCAAACAACAAGCCGCTGCTTTCCTTTTCCGGTGTCAAAGGTTAGACCAGCAGCAACGAGCAAATACGAGTAGCGCCCCCTATAGGTGACCAGTTTACATTTTATTTATTTCATTTAACACACAGCATGTTTCATGTTTTATTTTAATTTATTAAAATGCTCTCAAAAATATTAAAATGTACCTGAATAACTGTTACTTGTCTACTTCTATTACAGTAAGTGTTTATACAATTAAATACAATTTCACCATAGAAACAGTAGGGTACTTTTTACTTGAGTAAAATACTGTATATACCACATGTCTGTGCAGATTCTCAGTCATCCAGGTCATAGTAAACTGAAAAATCAACTGGACTAGATTTCTAGGTCAAAGACGTAGAAATCTAGTCTATTTTTTTCTGTTTATACCACTGCTATGCTTCTCCAACTTGTCAGGTTACTCCAAAAGTGAGAGACCAGCCATCCCTCTTCATTTCTCCAGATCAGTAAAAATTTGAATCTAATGTATACTCGGCCAGTGACTTTGTGGAAATCCTCCACTTCAGACTTGTGTCCAGACAATGTGTTTGCTGTAGCCTTCTGTCATGGAACACCACATGCACACACCTCAGCTGTCTGAGCAGCTGTTGCTATGATGCCATCTGCAAACACACTCTGCCCCTTGAGCTCCCAACAAGAGTGTGAGAAAACACATTGCCTCTGCAACGCACCCATGTGTGTATACTGCATACACACTGCTAACCTCGAAAGAGTAGAACAGGACTACTTTCATCCAGGATCCAGGGATTAATATTTTCTGTGACCCAGACAAGATCTGGACAGCAGTCTGTGATGCCAGCACTCTGTATTAACATGAAGATGCTAAAGAGGCTGGGTTAACCTAGATAAGCTTTTACATGGTAATGCCTGAGTTCTTGACATGTGACTCCTATGCTATTCTTGTCCTGACTGAAGTTAGTTCTACAGTGTACATGATTATTATATCTTGTGCTGATGCATCGAAGTTCATGCTCCCAACACAGCCATATCACTTATCCTTTTTTACTACAGTAAGGTCTAATGAACCTGACTCCACTTAAAAGTTGCTTTCTGACAGGACAGGTTTATATGAGTAATACTGTAGTAACCAAACTGAGCAAATCTACTGTAACTCCAATAATATTGAGAAATAGTGAGACGAGTCAGTCAGTCAACACACAGTGATGCATGGTAATGTCTCTCTGTACAGCTTTATTTACATGATACTATTCTGTTGTAATGCTGGATAGCAAGATTATATGTAATACATAAATATCAACACAGTTTTTCTTTTTTGTGTGTACAAATTTGCATATGACTAAGAATCAAAAGGGAAAAACTCAAACAGATACATACAGTTATCTTTTAAATGAAAAACATCCTTACAGGGGAGAAAAAGGAGGGATTAACAAGTCACAAACATACATGGGTTTCAATGTGTCAGGCAGCCATGAAAACACTTTTGCACAGGTATGTGCACATGCACACACACAAATATACACACGCACACTTCTCTACAGGCTCTACAGCAGACACACAGACCAATAGCTGTTAGACAGATGAGAAGTTACATCTAATCTTGGTATCTATTACTTTTCATAAATCTAGCTCTGGCATGCTCCTGTAGTTCTGTAAACATGTGCTGATAAACCGGGTAGCTCCAAAGACAAAAGGGTTGGGGAACAACACACTCGCACAGCTCACATGAACGTTCTGTTAGCACATTAAAAAAAAATAATAATAAAAATCATGATTCACATACCCTAAGTCCACACATGCATTGAATACATGCGCTAACATTAATCTAAAAAGGAAAAAAAGATAACAAAGCATAACAGGTAATTGCTTCTCAGCAAATAAAATATCTGATCCCCTATGGTGAGTGATGACAAATATTTCTGAAACACTAATGCAGATAAAGAGTAACTCAAAGCATTAATGCTGTCCATTCATGTCCCTACAATATTGTATCTTAGATTCATCTACCAGGTCTGCTAGGGATGGGTGCCATCCTTCCTCTCATGCCACACATCAGTACACACAGCCCTGCACCAGGCGTCTGAGATTACAATCTGAGCACAGGCCAGCTGGGGAACTCCTTTGCCCCCTATGTCCATTGAAACTGTGGATTCAGTGAAATGTGGAGTAATTAATTTGTCCCTGTCTAACATGATACCCCCAGCCAAAATGGAAACAGCCTCATCACATCACAATCAAACCATTCAAAGTCAACATGGGCATGTTGATCAGAGGGTCAGTGAAGCTGATTATCACGATGACCCACTGCTCTGCTGGGGTTGAAGCTGATGAAAACAAAATAAAAGGGAAGACAACAAAGCTTAACACAGCAGCTGTGAGGTAGGTAAAGCTAGGAAATACAAACAAAGCCCCTTGTGCACGGTGGGGGACATTTGTACGGTTCTCCAAACATTGACTGACTCCAATACCAACAGAACACAGAACAAGAAGTTCAAACGTTGAAGGACACAACTCTTGCGGACTGTTACTGTGGAGTTTGAATGCTCTGAAAGACCTGCCAGTGTTGACATGTGACAGTAAAATGGCTGTATGCAGTTTGGCACAAAACGGCGCCTGGTTTGGGTGAGAGGAGCACAGCATATCCTGGGCAGTTCGCCTGCGCTGCTTTTAATAAGACAATACATAATCTTAGAAGAAAAAGGACCGAACAGTGGTAAACTCACACCACAGAAAACAGAATTAAAAAAAAAACTAATGAATTAACCAAAACGGAGAAAAGCGATCATTCATGCATCTCTCAGACAGGATCTTTTCATTTTTTTCTTCTTTTTTCCTCTCCCATTATTTTCTTGTTGGTGTAATTCTGCAAATCGAGTCCTTTCAGTCTTTACCTAGCTACTCATGCTGGTGCCCATTTCAAAGTTTCACACTCATACTCCAGTCTTTGTCAAAGATGTTGTCATCGTTGCCATTGCTGCTGTTGTTTGGACTAATCTATATTCTCTGGATCTTGTCAGCCACCACCACAGGGTTCTCTTTACGGATCTTGGCAGCAGCCTCAGCCTTGTAATCATAGGGACAGTTGTGCTTGTCGGAGTACCGGTGGATGCCACAGAACAGGTTGCCACAGCGACAGTCAAACCCTGGAAGCACAAAGGTCAGGGGTCAAAACTAGAACAGGAGAGGTGAGCAATGACAGTAGACAGGTGGTAGGAAAGAACCCCCTAGTCTTTATATTTATGACCAGTAAAACAGTTATCAGAACCTAAATCACTGACAGGAATATGTACAAACATTTATGTGTTGCATCCCCCCCCGCCTCTGTTCACCTGTAAGGCCCACCCTTTTGCGGCACATGAAGCATCTATTCTTCTTGGGCTTGGGGATTTCACCCTTGCTTTCTTCATTGCTGGAGGAAGCTACAGGAGAAGGGCTAGAAGCAGGAGGCTGGCTTATAACTACACATACAGAAAGACAACAGAGGAAAAATACTTAAGAATCATGTTAAGTTTAATGTCTGATATGTTCATTTTGCAAAAGCAGCAGAATGATTTTGGTCATAATTCTTTAAGACAACTAAACAATTACAATTCTGTGCTTTTGTTCCAAATTATAGTAATTAGATTTTTTTCTCTCTTAATTGCCACCTCTTGTTCTTGGCAGAAAATCCATGCCCTACTCCGAGAAAGCCTCAGCTTCAAATTTGAGCATGTCCTCTGGAGTAGAGATATTTTTAAACAGGTTTATTTTTAGGCAGACTGTTTCTTGGAGGGTGTAAGTAAACCCAGCAGTTGGGCTTTAGGTATGCAGCAAAGCGTCAAAAATAAACTGCAGCTACATTGGGTCCTAGAAGGCGATGTCCCTCTATGTGCACAGTCACCTATGTGTGTGTCAAATGTCTCCCCTTACAAGTGTGTTTTTATGTTTCTGTGAGTTTTACCAGGCTCTAAGGGTTCTGGCTTGTCCTCTCTGGAAATGCTCATCTCTGTCATTTGTTGAGTCACGGGAAGAGATCCTTGAACAGTTCTGAGGATTCAAATAAAGAGAGAACAGGAACAAACAGGAGAAAAGGAGACCATTAACCAGGTCATACATTCTCCAAGTTAAAGAATTACCTTGAACAGTCAAGTACAGCCAGGACTTACCTAGACATGTCTGGTGAAGAGGCAGGTGAGGCTTCGACCTTGGCTAGACTGGCTTCGAGTCTCTGGATGGCTGAGGCCTCTGAGGTAGGACTAGCAGCTGAGCCTGGATGAGAATAATGAACTCCATTAGACATCATTTGACTTTGATCAATTCTGATTCTACTTATCTGGCTTTTATCAATTCCCCGTTTTCGATCCCAAAATTCTTGCAGCCTTATCAAAGTCTTTAACTGTGTATTTAATATTACCCAAGATAAAGGCAATTTTTAAACCAAGTCTTAAAAATACCGGTGTTTACGTAGATCAGACAACAATGTTTTATTTGGGGATAATTATTAGAAGAAAATGTTCTAATTGTCCCTGTAAACTAATGCTACATGAATAATTGTCAATTTAAGAACTATAATGAATTTTAATCTCTCATATGATGACACAGTGGAAAGCAGTAGCGGTAGAACCATTTGTGGATAATAATGTTTTGAGCTGCCTGTTGTACATATTATTTACAGGAAACCTAACTACCTAGCCCTTTTACCACAAATGCTGTAACTGCAAACTCCTCAGCTGAGCCTGGCTATACTGAAGATGCTAGTAGCATTGGTTGATGACACACTGGGCTCAGATTTCACAAGACACCAAACACTTTAGTGTCTTTCAGACTGAAGCCATGCTGCCTTTTGGTCACATCTGCATCATAACCAGACTTGCAGCTAATTATCTGCCTGCATTTATTGCACTTTGTCTTGTTGCCATTTTCTTTTCTGAAGTGGAGCCACCCCCTTTTTTTTTTTAAACCACAGTCCAGCTTTTATACTGTTGTTAAGCTACAACAGTGGTGGCACGCTAGCTCGTATCTAAACAAATGAGCATGCTGTTATGGTGATGCATGACATAGTTACATTGACAGGTCCAGGCAGACAGCTATGTACATCCTTGCAGATAATGGCCACTGCTCACAGTATTTAAGAGCTTGTGTTGAGGAACTGATAAGCAGAACTTAAATTTTGTTTTCTTTTTATGGGTACCCAATGCTTGATATTTTGCACTGAAAATTGGAATTGATCTCAATTCCCAACCCTATGTATGACCTTAAAAGTGTGTAATGAAATGAAGACCCCCACCTCCCCAAACCTTTAATACTGTCATGATGAGAACAGCCATCTTTCATTACACAGAGTAGAAAAACAGGGTTGGGGATGTGGGGGGAGGGGGAGCTGGGAAAATAAACTGACCGGCCTAGAAACAGCTGTATTTCATTGCAATGTTTAAACATCCTTGAGTCACTCCTAATCTCTGGCAGGAACTATACAGGGTAAGCTACCTTTATTTTTGTTTACATCATAAACACAAGGCTTCTGTAATTAATTTGCGTTGCTTTTTTCACTTCTTCCTTAGAAACAGAAGATTCTCCATCTGTTTTCTTACCCATAGGGCTGAGAGGGCTCATGCGGTCACTGCTCTGCTGCCGTGTCAGGTGCTCCTTATAACACACGGAGCACATGCCATTGGTTCTTGGGTTTCCATAGAAACCACAGCCTGTGGCACAAAGCATTGGCACTGGGCTCTGGTTCGTCTCTTGGGCCATTGCTAACAGAATTTGAGAGACAGAGTGAGAATGTTTATTAGACCAGGAGACACAGAGACAAAAGATTTTTCTGCATGAACAGCTGTATGTGAAATACAACTGAAGGCGAAAATGTTTTCCCATCACCGAACAAAGTATGCTGCTACACACTTATTGTAGTGTCACCAGGGCTGAAAGATAACAGGAGAGTCACATTATGAAAATTCAGGAACAACATGCCGCTGTTTTGACTTGCCCTTTAGCTTCTCCACAGGAAGTCCAGAGAACAAACTCACTCTGTTCAACACCTTGGGCAGAAGCTTGACTATGTCCCACAGCTTTGGTTTGCTAGTGTGTCCCCCCTCCCTCCCTTCCACCCCTCCAATAAATTTCACAGTTCTGAGAACAGCTGTATGTTCCTGCCAAACATCTGACCTGCCTTTCATTTTCACTTAGGAAAAACCTTCCCCATGGCTAATTATAGTCCACACAGTTATTTACTCATACCTAAAATGTAACAGTGTTATATATGAAAGAATCATAATTGAACAATGGGCCTCTAATTTATCCAGAAACCTTAAGACATCAATCACCAATGTGTTTCAAGACTATCATAACTACAAGAGAATATCCAAAGTAACTAACACTCCCTCATTAGATATTCATTTCTTCCATGACGACACAAAACAAAGCTCTGACTCACCGGCAGAATCTTGGTCACAAACCATCAGGCAAAATAAAGTTCTGTCCTTATCAAAAGAAACAAGATAATGAACGACTATGAAAGTAGGTCAACACTGCCTGAAAGCATTCCCCGCCCTCTGTGGTTTTTGCCACACAAGGTATTTCAAAGCGGCCCGAGTCATTTCTACTCACATATACGCCCAGAGAACAAGCGCGTATGTGCATAACTTTACTGAGCGTTCAGTCCTGTGACGTAGTTGCTGTGCTCTGCTGCAATACAAAACAGCAGGAAATGGTGTAATGGGAGACACTGCCAGAAAAAAAAACACCTTGATGAATGAACAGACGAGGGAGCCTAGTTTAGTTGAGTAAGAGGCATCCTGTCTGCCAGTCCTGCTCTCAAATGATCTGATCAACAGATCTAAAAAAAATCCACAGCCAGCAGCTGCCAGCAGACACAGCAACAGCATCATATTGCCCTTATAAACAACCTTTAGCCCTGTTTTTGCTGTACCATGGCAGATGCTTGCTTGCATTTGTGTGAAGCTCATCTATATTCTGGTCACGGACACAAACAGGGCAGCCAAGCTTAATGTTCCCAGAGAGGCTGGCATTTGTTTCAGAATGTCCTGTTAGATCACATGAGGTGTCCTGACCTCACCAACTGACTAACAACTGCTATTAAACCTTGAGCAACCTCCTCACACACACACATACACAACAACTCCTTCCTCATGTGTTTTTCTGTCCCTGCACTGTCGAAGCGTTTCCTTGGAGAAGCCTACAAAGACATTCTCTCCCTTTGCCTCATGGGTTCAACTGCTGACTGTGGAAAATACAAGAGAATGAAGCTAAAGGATTGTTAGTACAATGTGTCTCAAAAGGACTTTTCTAATATGCTCATGGCACCATTCTCTTTAAACTGAACAATACCAGTCTACTTTGCAGATAACTGCAGTTGCACTGTGTTCTTAGACAAAGTATTTAAGCACAATCTGCTCCTCAGAGGAAGGCTACATCACATCATCATGAGAGACAAAGAACATACAGTACATGGCTGTTGATTTTCTGACATAAAAGAACAATGAACAGTGTGGCTCGATAGTGAGACCAACGGCAGGCATGTTAACAAAACCTTTGCCCAGACCCCCCAAGAACAAGCAGAATGTAGGAGGTTTCATGTTCAAATCTACTAAGCTTTCAATTAGACACGAGAATACTGCATAGCTAGTAGGTTTTAAATGTTTTATGCTCAAAGAAAGTGTTTTAGAGGGAACTGCACACATACTATTGATGAAATACAACATTTTTGTTTACGTTGTCGCTGAGAATAGAGCAATCAAAATCTACACTACTGTTCATGAGCAAAAATAAACACTCCTGCTGTGTCCTCACACTGGCAGAGAGTGGAAATAACCCAAATGTCCCATTTATTGTTGGGTGTAAAACACATCTGACAGGGCAAGTTAGGGGGTTTCCAGCTCAGGTCAGATTATCACATTCATTCAGCACAAACGTCCTTTCAAAAATATCCAAATATTCACAGTCTATGCGATGGCCAGTTGAACGGGACTCACTGAAAGACATAAGTGAGATAATCTTTAGCAAACAAAAGGGGGAGACTTATCCTGTTTCAGCTGCAAGCTTCGCTCCTATTTCAGGCCCTGCTGGGTTGAAAACTACTGAGTCACACTGAAGAACAGAACAGGAAAAGCCATCTGTTTGTAACAAGCAGTAAATTATTTTCTATAAATGAACACAATGTTGCAATAAACCATCTAAGATCGCCAGGAAAGGAAAATAGTTTTTTTCTAAAATAACCCACAGTCTAGACAGTGTGGTCTTTCCTTTGTTTCTTTCTTCCTTTGTCTGCAATCTCACTGCTTCCTGTTTAGACATAGGTGTAAGCTCTAATTTCTCGCATTATTTCTTCTAATAACACTTTTCAACGAAGCCATGTGTGAAATCTCGATTATATAATCGCACTTAAACGACTTGGAGGGACCACATAGCTCTCACCATCAAGCCAATATTGTTTTCCTTAAAGCTGAAACTACTGCAAACACCAGGCAAAGCTGCACTGGCACTTCATTTGTTATTAATAATTTCAGACCATTCATCTTATGAATTTTCTATTTCTAGACAGGAATTAGCTGGCTTTGGGCCCCCTTCCCCCGAATAAGTTGGAGGCAAACTGAAAACCAGAGATAGTACCCAGCACTAGTTAGCTTCCTCCCTAGTTTTTACCCTCAACCAGACGGAGTCACGTTCGAGGACTTGATATTCCCACTCAGGAGGAGGAGGAGGTGGTGGTGGTGGTCGTGGAGGTGGCAACTTAAAACGAACAATACACAAAAAACGACTATTTACCGCACAAAACCTATCACTCACACACCACCTGACCTTTCAATCTACCATTTAAGGTCGCCATGTTCGACCATCAGCTTAGTCTAAACAGCCATCTTTTCGTTGTTTACCTCGACAAGCTAAGATCATGTCGAAATGTGTCCTTGTTGATAGAGGGGGAACAAAATACTAATCCAAGATCATCACCTGCTAAAAACCGATGAAATTTCTCGCGAGACGACAAGAAAAGTTGCTGTTTGTCTTGTCAGAAGAAAACAGGTCGCGGGTTTCAGGTCCTGGTAACGTCCTTTTCTCCAGCTATGTATGTGTGTCCTTGGTTTTAGATGGGTTTAAATCTCCCTTCCTCGTACTCCAGCCTCTCCGTCTTTCTCTCTCCGTCTCCTGTTCCTTCTGGATGGATGTTTGTTTCCTTCTTTAGTACGAGGAGTGGCGGATGAGGTCACGGGTAAAACAACGTGTCGCCATTGGCTGCAAGCGGAGCCCACGAGCACTATGTACAGTTGTATCCGACGGTGGGGGCGGGGTGACCGGATGTGCGCATGCGCGTGAGGTTGCGTTATTACACGTTTGTTCGTCATCCTCCTACAAGGACACGATCCTTTCGATTGAGTAATCCGTCTCGATGAATGGACAATTACTGGTGCTGACATGACTGAATTTGAGAAAAATTGTATGATTAACATAATTTCCAGGTCTTATATCCGTGAGAGAGCACTGTTTTGTTGGTTAAACAGCCTCGTCCTTCCTGCCACATAGTATCATTACTTATGTCAGAGAAACAAAACAAGTGCAGATTTACAGCCTATCTAGAAAGACACAGACATGTAGCCCAAGCCTGTTTGTTATGGGAGAGCTCTAAGTGACACTATGCTGTCCACCCTCCCACACACACACACACACAGACATTTTGCTGTGTTGACACTGAGCGTGTAAACATGTTTTCTAAGAGGTAGCAAAACAACAGACAAAAGCCTAGCAGAAGGCAAGATAAGAGACTAAAACCAGGTAATACAGAATAGTCAGAATCACAGAATTACATCAATACCAATAGCCAACTTTAAAAAACAATTTTAGAATTAAAAGTGGTGAACATAATGTTTACTTCAGATGCTGTAAAACATTATGGCCTTCAGTACAACATTAAAACAAATATCAGGGTCTGGTATTTTGTAGAGGTATCATGTCACCCAGTGAGGCAGTGTGTTTCACTGATGTGTTTTTAATCGTTTTTGAACAACAATTGATGTCTGTGGCACAGATGAATAAGGTAATCCATGACTGACAGATTGACAGACATTAATCATGAGTAGAGGCAAATCAGTGCTGGTTTTAGTCTCTGTATGTGTAACCTCTGGTGAGAGCTCATTTACATTATGCATCTTTTAGCCCCTAGCTTCTAATCCTTACCTTAATTCTCCAGTTAGGCTACATGGTCAGTCCTAACCCCACTTACTTTGAACTGAATCCATACAGAGCATGAACAAACGTCTGTAACTTTGGCTCTCACAAAGACAAGCACACAAAAGCACAGAGACACAAACACATGTGTGTTCACGTTGAGAGTGTCATCATGTTTTGTGGGAGGTGACAAAATAAGAGCTGAGGATCAAGAAATTTTCAGGATGTACTGTTAGAGAGTGGTTGTGAAATACCTTTATGTTCTGGATGAGAACAGTTGTAGCAAACCATGTCATAACTTCTAACTACCATGTGGGACTGTGAGGTCATGTCCTCAGTATTGTTTAAGGGAATTTGGGGGTTTTAAACAACCTGAGGAGGAGTTTATACATTTACACAAAAATTACACCCTGGGAGGTTTTAAGACAGATTCTGATATTATTTAGAGTCCAGATTCTTAAAACTGACTGTTTTACACTAAAACCATGAATTAAAATAAAAGTTTTCATGCTTTTCTAAAAGAATTATGTGAGGATAATGAACAAGAATATAAAGAATAATAAAAACTCTCCACACACTTTTGTTGGTGGCTGGACAAAAGTTGTACTGGGGGACTTTGGACCCTTAGTCTTATAATAATCTGGGCTACAGCCCTGGTGGTAAACATGTTTGTACTGAAAAGTGGATCATAATACTGAATGCAAAAATACTTTCCTTTTTTTTTAATTACACCAGCAGTCATTAGAGCATATACTGGTGATGTTTTTGAGAAATATGGGAACATGTTCCTTCCATTCACCTGCAGTGTGCCATGTGTGTTGTATCGTTTGCCTTGCAAGTGTAACATGTCACAACATATTCCCACACCTTGTCAGTTTAAACGTCATAACATCCTCAGGCATTAGAGGTCATGCTGAGCAGGAAGCAAACACTTGGCGTAGGACACCATAGTGTGTGTGATGACCAGTGGTTATCTGAGTTGTTTATGCTTTATAGCAGTTCTTTGTTACCATGAGGAATAAAGAAAGAGTCATCATTGTGACAAGGATTTGAGCAACACTTTCACACTAGTAATTTTCAGTAATTTATTCAATAGCGCATGATGTTAATGTTGTCTTCAGCTTGTCTCCCTAGGCTTTTCACAAAGACAAGATGGGATGACAGTGAGTGCATTAGCATACACTTTACAGGACGTGAAAGGCCGATGGTCACAATTTATATTATGATATGAAAGGAAAATTTGAATAGTGTTTGTGAAAAGTCAACATGTGGCATTTTTATGCAAATCATCCTAAGTGTATGATATATAGTAAGATAGTTCCATATTGTAGACATAAGCTTTTCATATGAGTAAAGAAAGCACAGTAGAGGGAGAAGGAAGGCAGGAGCTCTGTATTTGACTGAGGTCTTTGTGTGACAGTGTTAACACAACCCTGTACAGAGCAGAAAAGAAGGCACATGTTATGTGAGCTGTATGTCTGCTTTGTATGCTAGTATGTGAAGGTTCATGGGTTTCATTGAAGGGAGGGGCCAGCTGGGGAGAGAGTGGGAGGTGTTAAGTATCATAACCTATCCCCCTCGCTGTCATTACATGTATTGTATGTGTGTTTGTTTGTCTAAGGATAATCACCTTTATACGTGTTTGTACCACTGTGTGCGTGTGTGTGTGTGGGTGGTTAGGTAGAATGATGCTGATGGTTGTATGGGGTTGGGGGGAGGGGGTAATTATTTTTCACAACCATAACGGATACATGTGAGCAGTTGAAATTGACAGTGTTGTCATGACAACAGTCGCATGTAATTTGCAGCTATCTTTGTGTTGCGTTCACTTGGTGTGTGTGTGTGTGTGTGTGTGTGTGTGTGTGAGTGAGAGAGAGACAGAGAGAGGATTACTTATGTGAATCTGGAACAGTATGTCTATAGTTACTAGGCAGATATTGGCCCAGCTGAGACGCACGCACCCCCACACACACTTAGGGGCACAGCTTGCCTGTGTCTGGCATCTGTGTGATGAGACATTGTTGATAATGGGTCTAATGGTGGAAATGGCAACTTATCCATTTACATAAGCTGTGTGTGGGGCTCGATAAGCTCTGAAGTCTAATACCATTGCATCAGGACTTGATCCCCCACCCTACTTTATCCCCTTTCAACATCATGTGCCCCTTGAAGGGGCCAACCACGTACGTGTCTGTGTGTGTTGACATATGTAAAAAGAGAGAATGCCCGTGATTCTGGGAAGATCAGGGACCGCTTTGTTGTAAATGCTCAGTACTTTTATTTACACTGCTGTTGTGGTAACAGCTGAATGAAAATTGAGGAAACATGAGGTAGAATACACTGGCCTCATATGAGTGTAAAAGTGTCAAGAAGCAAGACTGTGAAAGAAATTAAAGAGACATAAGGAAATAGGGAGACAGAGAGAAAGAAAGAAATAAAAATGAATGTGATATGCTGATTCAGCACCTACTGGCTGTTCACTCCCTCATTTGTGCTGCTACACAAGGCCTTTGCGTGCCTCATGAATGTGGTTCTTGTTATTTCAGACCAGGGAGGAGCCTCGGCCCCAAACTTTCCCAGATCACACTTTCTGTCTAAACTCTTTCTTTCTTCCTCCTCTCCCTTCTTCACACACAAACCTCACCATACATAGGTATCTGGATGAATGCTGGACTAACATGGCATAAGTATAAATGTGTGTGTCAGTATGCTTCTGGTTGAAAGAAAGGTGGTGCGTATGATATAACAGTGTTCGTGTTTAAATTTCCACTTCCATTTAGCTCTGCCTGGGTTTGTCCTTTGCAGCTGATACATTAGACTCTATGTCTGACCACATGCCTGTGTGTGGTGGTGAACCAATGTGAAACCCTGCATGTAAGTATGCTCATGAGAAAGTGTGTGTAGTTGTGTGTGCAGCAGATGCCCTGTGCCCTGTTCTATTCCCCAGACTGGCTGCTTTTTTGTTGCTGCTCCATGATGCAGACAGGCCTAGCCACGTGCTTCTCTGTCTGCTGGGACAAGCCACGCCCACATTTCTATAATCTGTCAGTTGCTGCAGCCAAGTCCTGCCCCTTAAAAGCACCCGGTCTGACAAGATCCACCTCCCTACTTGATGACGCAGTTTTACTCATGCATACTCACCATACTCTCTTTTTATCTCTTACTTAACACCTAAATGCTGTCTGTTCCTGAGCCATGCTCAAGGCGTACAAAACTGATACCGTATGCCCAGTGCTGAAATTTCCTTCCTCAAATGTTTTCTTTATACCTCTACCTCCACAGTAGTGCAACAGTCAGTTCTTGTCCTCAGAAACACCCAGAAACAGAAAGAAGGAATTTAGTGAGAGATCGAGATATGACTTTGAATATTGCTCCTACTTGCTGCAGTTTTTTAAAATCTTTCTCACATTAAAGTCTCTTAAATGGAACGATAGGTCCAAACTCTGCTCAAATGTAATCAATCATCCAAGTAAACAACCTGTATCACATCGAAACTACAAATAACAGATTGCGCTTTAGATGTCTCTAATGGCAGGTTTCTGTATGCAGTAATTGTCTCTATTTAAACCCCTATGGCAAAAATGTATTTATAGGCCGAGTCACGCCTGATTAACCTGCACTTTCCTCTCAGCCCTCTTTTGCCTGTCTCTGGGAAAAGCAGCTAAGTTTCATCCTCAGGGCAACAACTCCCTGTTGCTCTAGATTTAGTGCCAGCCGTTTGGAGCTGAGGAGTTGTTAATGCTACACAGAACTCACCAGCAGAGACAATCATGCAGAATGTTTCTACATTGTGTTTTTTTTTACTGTTACAGCACACAAAAGAAAACAGGACATGAAGGAAATAGACTTTTTTTGACAAATACATCTTATTTAGGTATTTTTGCATCTTAATCAGACCAGCTGCAAAGAACAGTTTGCTTTGATTTGATGACATATCCTCAACTTTGCAGATTGTTGCTCATGATAGGGTTATCAGTACAGTGCAGTAGCTTTAGACCTCGCTGGAAAGGTTTCCTCTGAGTATGACCTGCATTTGGGGACTGGGAGCTTGGTGACAGACTGGTCATCTGTTGCAGAGCTGCTGTTTGACTC